GGGCCTCTGGGGTTCCCACACCCCAACCACATGCTGCAGGAGCAAGAACACAGGGACAGACTAAACCAGGAAGAAGCCCCTTGCTCCCGAGTGTCCCTTGGTGAAGGTGGATTTGGAACCAAGAAGAAGGCGTTGATAACAGGTACACTGTTAGAAAGCGCGTAGGAATGTTTGATAAATGAATGAACTCTATGCCGCCTATAGGAGACTCTACGGCCCGTCTTGCTCATCTGGGAATGGGGTGAGCCCTGTGAGGAGGCCTACATGGTGCCCAAGGGCCTGGACTCAGGAAGGTGCATGCGTTTCAGTTTTTGCCTCATCCTCCCCCCCTTACCAAGCACCTCTGTGCTTCAGTGAATGAGGATCATAATGCCCGGCTGGTGGGGCTCAGTGACTGAGCATCAACCCATGAACCAAGAGGTCACCAGTTCGATTCCTAGTCAGGGCACCTGCCCAGGATGCGGGCTTGATCTCCAGTGGGGGGCATGCAGGAGGCAAGTTGATCGATGTTTCTCTCTCATCGATGTTTCTATCTCTTCCTCGCCCTTCCTCTCTCTCTAAAGTCAATAAAATATATTTTTTAAAATGGGGATAATAATAACACAGCTACCTAACGGAGCTGGTGTATTAAATAAGTTAATACATATAGGGCTGAGATGAGTACATCTTAGTTTTTATGAGGCAGATGCTTAGAACAGCAAACAAAAACCGTTGCTAATATTACACTGAACCCAGACCTGTAAGTGGGAGCTAATAGGGTAGATTGTTTAAGTGGCAGGCCGGAGACAGCCTTCCTTTGGTATCATCCTCCCGTCAATTCCGTGGCTCATTCCCTCCTGTGACTGACAGCTCCTGTGTGCTCCTCTTCATCCACAGCCCCAATTAGGAGAGGCAGTGATGTTGCTCAGATTAAACCACCCAATAAAGCAACGGTTCTTGGCTGAGGGTAATAGATTTTGTGCCCACTCCTCAACCCTCCCCCCCCCCCCCCCCGTGACATTTGGAGAAGTCTAGAGACATGTTGATTGTCACAACTGGGGCAGGGCGTCCTGGCCAGGGATGCTGCTCAACATCCTCCAGTGCACAGCACTATCCAGTCCCAAATGTGAGTGGTGTCGCTGCTGAAACCCTGACCTGCAGGGAGCAAGGGGAGTGGAGAAAGGGAGCAGCGGGTGGGTGAACAGGACACGTGGCCTTTCCCCATCAACGCTGGTTCTTGGTGGGCTCAGCTCAGGTTACCAGATCCCAACTGTCAGACGCACAGCAAGAGTCTAAACCAAGGTGGGGAACCTTTTTTCTGCCAGGGGCCATTTGGATATGTACTCGTATAACACCATTTTCGGGCCATACAAAGTTATCAGTGTGGGGCGCGGCTACGGTGTTTTGGCCAGGTTCAAGCCTCGGACTAATGAAAGGACAGCGTCCTCTCATTGCCACGTGCAAGTCCCAGCTGGAGGGCAGGGCCCCCCCAGCACAATCATAGCCAGCGGCTGTGGTTGTGAGCTTGAACCTATGGTCCGAACGCGTGGCCCCACGTGCCTTGTGATAGAGTTCACACACATGTAGTTGAGTGGGGTTGAAACTCATGAGAATGCTGTGAACAACTTGATCACGCCCCTACTTTGCCTTGTGGCATCTGCTATAAAATAAAGACACGGCTTGTGGGCGCTGGCGCTGTCTCCTCATCAGGGAGCAGCGTCCCACCGAGACCCAGCTGTCATTCTCTTGTCTGTCTTTTCTCAATCCTCCCCCCCCCCCCCCCCGCCCCCACTCAGGATCACCTTTGGCCGTAACATATCAGCTTAGGAATTAGCCTGCTATGTTTGGTCAAACATTTCATTAACTCACCCCGAATGCCTTGGCAGGGCCAAACCGTGATTTCTCAGGCCTCACTGGGCCCTCGGGCAGGACGGTCCCCGCTGCTGGTCTAAGGGACAGTCTCTCCTGTCCGTGGGCTCTTAGTGCCATCCCCATAGAAGCCGAGCTCCCGCTCCCTCCAACCTGAGGAACTAGGGGCTGAGTTCCTGAAAGAGCTGCTCTGGAAACAGAACGTCCAAGGTTTTAAGAAATCTGGGCAGAAAGAAGCAATGCTTGCCTTTTTCCCACATTAACAAATACACTACCTGTTCCTTTCCATCATGTGCTCTGTTTAAAATGAGTTTCTCCTCTAAGCGCCAGGCCCCACATTCATTCCTGTAACTGGGCAACATGTTTCTAAGTAAGGAGGGCTTTGAGGTAAAAGAAGGGAAAGTCTGAGAAGCAACGTAAGATGGAAAGTTGTTCAGTAAACAAGTAGGACAGAATGCTGACATGACTCGATTTGTCTCAGCCACGGCCACCAGACACCGTGCAGCCAGCAGAGTGCACATGGCTTGTTAACCATTTCTCGGGCATTGCACATGAAATACCATACTTTTGTTATTTTACTGTGGTGTTTTACTTTTTGGTTGTACCAAAGTTGTGTATTAAATATAATCATGTTCTTTTTAGTGTTACTATTATTATTTTTTAAAGTGTACGGCTACCTGGGGCCACAACATGTGAACCATGGGAAAGCAGTTTTTCTGTAACAAAGCGAACCGTGTGTCTCTCTCGTGACACTGACGAGACTCAGGTGGAACTGGCCCCTCCGAGCCTGCCCTACCAACCAGATTCCGAAAACAGCTGGACACCGATTCCTTTCTGTGAGCTCCTGGTGACGGTTCCTTTTGTGGCTGTGCTACACGCTTCAAATCCTGCACACTCACTCGGCCCTCAACAGAGATCCACTCAGCCACCCTTCACTGGCGCGCCAGCGACTTGCTGACGGCTTTCAGGGAGAGTTCTGGCATCCGGAGGAATGACCGTCTTTTCCGCAGTTAGAAAGTCCCTAGTTGACGTGGGAATACACACATGTAAATCATCTGAAAAAGCTTTCCGTTTGCCATAGAAGCTCTTTCCCTTCACTTTGTTAGGTTCATACTTTCTACTTGGAATCTAACCAACCTCCTACCAAATGCAGACTAGACTTACTCAAAGGGATCGCAGGCATCACCGTCCTTCGCAAGGCAACCTTACATTCATATGAGTGTCAGCATTCTCTCCTTTACGGGACAATCTGAGCATATTCAACACGGTATTTAAATCAAAATGTTTTCTATGAACAATGTCTCAGGTAAAGCCAATGGGACTGTATGTTCAAAGTCAAGGTATAGCTGGGTAATAATTGTACTGTGTTGAACCATAGACTAGAAAGTGAATCAACGATTTTTTCCATGTTAGCACTTGCTGAGAAAGCAATAAGTTTCGGTCTGTGAATGAAAAAAAAGCATCAGCAATCCTGGCTCGGGAGAGGCCAGACTGCTGCTTCCTTCTCAGAAGTCAGGGAGTACCGGCCAGCCACCTCTCTGGGATCTTGTGGTCCACGTCTCTGACTTACTTTACATAACGTGACAAGCTATGTAACGGCTGTCGCCACTACTAATAGTGACTGTGGTCACCGAGCCATGCTCACAGTACTAAGGAGGCCCACTTGGTCCTGAAAGTATAAACTCCGCCAGGTTCCCACCCTGAAGACAGCTACCACATACATTTTCTGCAATGACCGGGGGTGGGGTGGGGTGCCCTAACTGTTCAGAAGTTTACCAAAGGCCTACTGTTTACCAGGTTCAGGGAGACAGAGTCCCTGTGTATTAAATATAATCATGTTTTTAGTGTTACTATTATTAGGAGGAGACAGACATGTCATCCAATACTTACTACTTTTTGCTCAAAAACTTTAAATATTAAACAAATTCACGTTTTACCTCCACTTCCTCCCTCTAGCTTATCCTATTGTCAGTGATGCTGTGTCATCCTGCAGAAATCAGATTACGGGGCTAAAACGTGGGGAAGAGGGGCCCAGGTGGAGACTGGAGGGTGGGGGCTGTCGTTATTGTACAGCCTTAAGGTTGCTAAAGCTCGTTGCCATGATCTTTAAGGACTTGAAAGGAGAGCTGCAGTATGTTGTTGTCTGAAACTAAAAAGCATAATGGACACGAGGAAATGACATCTATGAAAATACTTAAACTTACTCCCCCCACAGTAATGATACTGAATCACTCTTTATAAAGCATGCTTTCCTGTTATTAATGTTTATTTTTCCCAGAAAGAACAATGGATTATGATGAGTTACCAACTCTTTCGTGTTTATAGGGCCTGGTATTAGGAAAAATGTGTTATCATGTGAAATTACCCTAAACCCCAGGGAAACACATCCAAATAAAGTATGGTTCATGTTTCTCCAACATTCTGACATTGACTTTGACTCCTGATGAACACAATGAAATAAGAAATATGAAAATACTTTATAAACTGCAACATCCGGCAATATCAAACAAAAACATTTAAAAACATGCCCTTAAGGGACTCTTTGTTCCTTCCCACCTCAGCTGCACCACAGCCCAGTAATTACTCCAAACACTCTCTTTCTAGAAAGGCTAGATGTGCTAAATAGGCTATCCCGAAACTACCCGAGACCAAGAAATGAAGGTGTTGACTGAATCACCCATGATTAATCTTCAAGATGTTTCCTTTCCAGATAAATGTTTATTAGGTATAAAATAAGCATTACATGTTTATTAGTAGTGTCATATTTCTTATATGAATCAGCGATTCAAAATGTCCTAGCTCAAGCAGTACTAATAAAGCCCTCATTGGAAGTTTCAAAATTCCCTGTGGTCTTTGATTTTCGGGATGCCTGGATTCTCTATAATAGTATTTTTTCAAAAGGAACTGCGTATTTTATATATTCTACAAGGGGATGTCACCCATGACTCTTCAGTTAAATATTCATTGTTGTCAACCAAATAAACCACCTATTTTAAAAGGCTGCCTGTAATTGGTTTCATTATTTCATACATTACCTATACAGGAAAGCAATTTTGTAAGCAGAAATAGATTACCTACACAAACTGGCAAGCTTTCAAACTACTAAAGGGCGGCAAGGCTTAAGAATAAGTATAGTAATAGAAAATGTCACGTTTTATGGAAAAGTTTTACTTTATTTTGTAAAAAATAATGTTTTGAATAGTTACTTTACTCTTTCAAAACAATGCAACCACAAGAAGCACTGAGGAGAAAGTACCCTGCTTTTATGAACTTATTGTTAACACACCGATGGCAGGCACACTGCTCACTGAAGCAGCCATATGTGACCCAATTGCAAGACACAACATGTAGGAGTAAACACACAAGACTGAACAGCTGTGAAAAATAGAGGATTGATCAAAAGATTCTGCTTAAAAACATTAAATTCAAGTTATGTGGATCTTTTATGCATAAAGATCATACTGTGTCACCAGAATGACTCTTCAATGGTCAGTTCTGGAAAACAAAACTTAACTTTAGTTAGAAAGTTAAACTGTTAACTTCTCTTTTTCAAAGCATTTTCAAAAACTATGCTATGTAGTTTTTATTCCAAGAAGCCTTCTTGTGATGTACAAATACATCTGCTAATGGAAAAAAGTAAAAAAAGCCAACCTAGGTCCGGGCTGGGTAGCTAGGTTGGTTAGAGCATTGTCCCTATATGTCAAGGTTGCGGGTTTGATCCCATCAGGGCACATACAGGAATAACTAATGAATGCATAAATAAGTGGAACAACGAATTGACGTGTGTGTGTGTGTGTGTGTGTGTGTGTGTGTGTGTGTGTCTACATTAAAAAAGGAAATAAGTAAAAAGAAAAGCCAATCTGGAAAAGAAAACAGTTTAATTAAATGAACATCAAAGTGTGGTCTCTATCTTCTGCCCCTCCTCATCTTTCTTCTCATGTCGCCTCTGAGACTGAGAGTAACTTGGGGCAAGTTCCCCTGATGTGCGTTCTCTCCGCCTCTCTGGGCTGTGCTACCACCAGGGAGCCCTGCAGCACCCTCGCTGGTCCAAGGCAGAAGGACCTCAGCCAGACTCACTCCTACCCCTGGGCTGCTATGACAAACATTACAAAGTGCCTACAGCCTACAATTATTTCAGCAACAAAGTAAACTTCTCTAGTGATGATGCTGTACTGGTTTGTCGCCCTAATACCAACCAACCATTAAAAAAACATTAAAAACCGGAAATTCAAACTGTCTGTAGACAAGTAATCATTTAAAAGTTGGGAAAATGAGAAGGAACTGTAGTCCCAACCACCTAAAGTCTCCCCTCCTCCACTCTTATGTAGCAATTTCCTTTCCCCATAATTACCCTGAATGCAAACATGACGCTGTCACCTCTACTGCATCGACAGTGTCACTTGTGTGCATCACCGGGTGGCAGCCCTGGGAGGCCAACAGGGCGTCTGGAGCCCAGCGCTCCCTTCAATCGGTCTTGTCCTGCCTGTTCTCAGTCCGCACATCCAAGGTGGGCGCTTGGGGTGGCGGGGCCCCCGCCGGGCTCGCTGCTGGGCAGGTGGGCGGGGGAGGCCCCGTGGCACACAGTGGAGTCCGCTTCAGCTTTATCACCCGGGGTGGGGTAGCCTTCTTGTCGCACAGCAGAACCTTGGCTGGAGGGGGTGATGTGGCCCCATTTTCAGGACCGCTGGGCCCATGCGATGGGGAGTGCCCAGGCACCTCCATGCCCACCAGGGACAGGGCCTTAGACAGTGCAGAGTGCTGAGCTGGCATTCCGCCTGGAGACGGGGACACCCGGACTGAAGCCGAGTTCTTGACCTTGATTTGTGTGCTGGTGGAAGGGCCCGAAAACCTGACAGGTTTAGGACCAGCCTTACAGTTCACGCCTTCCTCCCCTTCATCCAACGCCATCAGCCTCCTGCAAACACAGAAGCATGCCTGTCAGCACTTACACGGTCAGTAGCTAATGAAACCAGCTCCAAAATTCGCCTTTAAGGTGAACAAAAAGGTTTCCATCAAGAATGTGAGCCAATGCCGAGGCCGGTTTAGCTCAGTGGATGGAGCGTCGGCCTGCGGACTGGGGGGTCCCGGGTTCGATTCCGGTCGGGGGCATGTGCCTGGGTTGCGGGCACATCCCCAGTGGGGGATGTGCGGGAGGCGGCTGATCGGTGTTTCTCTCTCATCGATGTTTCTGACTCTCTGTCTCTCTCCCTTCCTCTCTGTAGAAAATCAGTAAAATATATTAAAAAAAAAAAAAGAATGTGAGCCAAGAGATCGATGCGTATCAATCGACCCCATTTCTCATCTCCCGCCATGGTCAGTACGTACATCGGCAAGTTTATAAGAGATTGTTTCACCTTGAATAGGAACCCTTTTAAAATCACATATAATACGAACAAGCTAAAATGTGGAAAAAGATGTTATGTGAGAATTACACAACATATCACTCTGTTCCCAAGATCCCTGATGCGATCCAGGGGCAACCAGAAACATCCTGAGTTGTTTTTCCCAGGTTACTAAGGAAGAAGAGCGCTTCCAGGCCACTAGACTCCAGACCAAGGTTTCTCAGTCTTGGCACTATTGTCACTATGGGCCGGATAGTTCTTTGCTATGGGGGCTGCCCCATGCATTCTAGAACATTTAATGGCAACCCTGGCTTCTACCCACTCGATGACAGTAGCATTCCCCACTCCACAGTGTGACAACCCAAAATGTCTCCACACACTGCCTAACACCCCTGGGGGACAAAATCACTCCCAGCTGAGAACCGCTGCTCACACTGAAATGATGTTTGCTAACTATAGGTTCAATGGGCAAAACAAATAATGATAACAAAACGAGAGCCTCTGGGAAAATAATCTGTTTTAACAAGAGATCATTAATTGCTACACACTGAATAAACTCGGCATTTCTGAGAAAGATCTAGAGGGCACAAGTCAGAGAGCATTCTGGAATCCCACAGGAGCTTTGAATCAAGTTCTAGAGCAGAAATCCAGAAATCAGAACTTCTGAAAGCCATGAATAATTCCCAGACGATGAAAAAGAAAAATGGTTTGTAAATGCATTTAAAGCACAGTGAACGACACAGATGAGGAGTGAGTTTAATGCTAATAATTTTAAAGAACACAAGAAAGTACCATTAACTTAAAATGCTATTTGTGGCATTGAGAAGGAGAAAGGAATTCAGAATAAGTCACAGGAAATTCCAAATATTAAATCTAATAAATACATTTTTTTGACTATTACCAATAAAGCCTGAATTTCACTTCTGTGCAGAAAACTACTTACCACAGCATTCCCACTGTCTCCACTAGTGTCATTAAAATCACACTCTCCCCAAAAGAACATACTCTAACTCCGTTTTAGAGAATTATTTGTACAGTTTTGGTAAATTATTTTACACAGTTTTGGTAAATTTGCATTTATCCAGATTTATATTTTGGTGGTAAGGCAGAATATTCGTCTCTGTGATTAATAGGTTTTTATTTTAGTAAGGTCAAGAACTGTTATTCATTTCCCCAATAAAGTCAGAAAAAATATAGGTCACAGATTAAAAAACAAACATCAACAGAGCAGAGTTCACCTCTTCCGAATCGGTGCCATGTGGCGCAGGCTCCCCAGCAAAGGCCGCTCCTCCAGGGTCCAGCATTCTATCAGCTCGTGCGGCACCCGCCAGTAGCTGACGCCTGGGAGAGAAAGGCATCGTTAAGAGAACCTCTGTCCACTGCACACGGGGCAGGAGCACTGTCTCCTAGAAGAAGAGCCAGGGAGAGCGTCCGAGCTTCATGCCTCATTTCTTTCCCTCCTAAGAAATCAATTATTTGCTTAAATTTCCTTTTAGTTTATTATAGTTTCATTTTTCATTCATAAATCTACCTGGGCTTATTTCGATAAATGATGTGAGGTCAAAGATGTTTGTCTCTCAAACATACTTGCCAATTACATGTTAAATAACCTATCTTTTTTTCATTGATATTTAGTCAGTCAACTCTGTGACTTTCTTATTACATAATATTTGTATTCTTATAACTTTATTGGGGTTTACTCTTGCTCTCTGCATCTATTCTTACACCAGGAACACATGATTTTTTTATTATTATCTACAGCATGTTTTGTTTTTGCTTTTTTAAATATGTTTTTATTTATTTCTGAGAGAAGGGAGAGGGAGGGATGGAAACATCAATGATGAGAAAGAATCATCGATCAGCTGCCTCCTGCACGCCCCCCCCCCCCCCCCCAGCCCACTGGGGACTGAGCCCACAACCTGGGCATGTGCCCAGACCAGGAATCAAACTGGGGACCTCTTGATTCATGGATCAACATTCAACTGCTGAGCCATACCAGCTGGGCTACAGCTTGTTTTACTACCAAACAGAGTTAGACTCATCCCTCTAATAACCTCTACTTCCCAAAATGTTCTTGGCTATTTTTCGTTTATTCTTTCAAAGGCATTTTAGAATCATTTCAAGATTCCCAAAGAGTCCTATTGATATTTTGGTAAAAACTGTGTTAAATTTACCATATAATCTCAGAAGAACTGACATCTTTACAGTATTCAGGTCTCCCTCAGGACCATGGCTTGTCTCACCATAGCCTTCATGTCCTCATTTATGCGGACAGATGGCGGCTAAACACATGTTAGCAGTTTTCTTCATAAACACTCAGGCATTTCTTGGCAGGGCAGTCCTATTTATTTTTGTTTTATTCATTGCTATCGTGAATGGGATTTCCCCTATAATTTCTAATTAATTTATCATAAATGAGCTGCTCTTTGTTAACATATATGTATACAGCTAACAATATATTGTATGCAACATATAAAATACAACTACTAAACTCATCATTTAAAATACCATTAGTAGATTCTTCTGAGTTTTCTAGAAATACATATTGTTCACAAATAACAATAAGTGTCTTCTTCCTCCCAACTGGCCTTTCTCATACTTCTGCTTCCTGCGTAGGGCTTTCCACAGACCTTCCAGAGCTTTATTCAATAGCAGTGATGCTCTACTACACACTTCCTAAAAAGCTAGAGGTAGTTGCACGCTTTGGTAAAGTCAGGGATCGCACTCTCTGCTCCAGCTTCCTAAGTCAGCAGAGAGCCTCCTGGGCAGCCTGCCAGTCCAGGGCACAGAAGGAGACAGGACACCATGGGTTTGTTCTCAATTATAAGTCCAAGTGTCTCAAAGTCAGTTAAATCTACAAGAATAAGCTAAAAGAGAATAGCACTCCTTTCGTGCTACTTTATCCTATCTGCTAGAGGGGTATGAAAAGAAAAGAAAAAGGAGGGAAAGTGAGGGAGGCAAAGATGAGGAAAGAAGAGGTTGGTACTGGCACCCCACCTAAAGGAGGAACAGCTGATGTAGTTTTTATTTACTTTTATTTTTTATTTTTAAAATATATTTTATTGATTTTTTACAGAGAGGAAGGGAGAGGGATAGAGACTTAGAAACATCCATGAGAGAGAAACATCGATCAACTGCCTCCTGCACATCTCCTACTGGGGATGTACCCGCAACCAAGGTACATGCCCTTGACCGGAATCGAACCTGGGACCCTTCAGTCCACAGGCCGACGCTCTAGCCACTGAGCCAAACTGGTCAGGGCTGATGTCGTTTTTAAAAGCCTCTTCCACTCTTTTTATTCCATTTTATAATGACTTGCAATCTCTGTTTCTATCCGCTTTTAAGATCATTTGAGGACTAAGATGTGCTATTTATCTTTGGACCCATTTTTAGGATTTAGTATAATGGTTGCACTTCACACTCAATAAATGCTTACTAATTAAGGGGGGGAACATCTTGGGCATAGAACAGTTAATTATCTGTGATCCTTAAGCAAGTGGCATGGCCTCTCTGAGATTCAGTTTCCTCACCAATAAAATGATAAAGAGCATAGGACGTTGTTTTAGGATTAAATAGCATGATTATCAATCCTATATAACAAAAGGGTAATATGCAAATTGACCCTAATGGTGGAAGAAACGCTCCACCAGTCACTATGAGGTACACTGACCACCTCTTGCTCCCTTTCCCTGGCCTGCAGGCTCCCATCACCCAATGGCAAATGGGGATCTGAGGGTGGGTGGCAGGGGACACAGACCAAGGCCCCGCCCTGACAGTCGCCCCACACAGAGGGCGACCTGTGGCAGGGGTGGGGCCAACGAGCAGGAGGGAATGGTCCCTCCCCATGGCCAGCAGGCTCCGATTGCCCAATGAGGAATGGGGAACTGGGGGTGGGTGGTGGCGGGGGGGCGGGGCTGGCTGTGGGAAGCTGGGGAAAATGGCCCTGATCATAGGCCAGGCCTAGGGACGGTACCTACGCACGAATTTCATGTGCCAGGCCTTTAGTTCTCACATAAGCAGCTTGGTAAAAATGGCCAGATTTCAAAGTGTGTATTTAAAGATTATTTTTATTGTTTGATAAGGGCTCTTTAGACATCTTACCAGAGTTATTTTCATTTCCTCTGTCTCTTTTTATTTATTATACATTTTATGCTGAACTTAGAGATACACTTCCTAGGACAATGCTAGGTACATAGTAGGTGCTACGTAACCTCTTGTTTAATTGAACTAAATAAGCACAATTAACAGAAGCATATTTTAGGTTACTGAATTATAAACTATTAACCATGTCTAGCAACTCACGAGGTTTAAAGATTTGCAAGTAAATTATCTCAATGTTACCATGAAATGACAAATACCTGGACCCACACAAAAAACATTCTCAAAAAAAGAAATGCATCTCAGCTCACTTTGTCTTACTAAGGACACGCCTCCTTCTGCCATGAAATAAAAGAACTGGACTGTACCTTTTCCTTCCCAGGCATCAAAGGCATCCATCATTTTCTTCAGTTCTGCTGCTGAGTAATAGCTCCAGATGTACTGAACATTACTGCCCGCCTCTCTAGAAAGATTGCAAAAGGTAATGAAAATGTACCACCTAGGTATGAATGTGTGTGTGTGTGTGTGTGTGTGTGTGTGTACAGCTAACAGACAGTAAGTGCTTGTTCGTTAAGAAAAGGTTTGTTCTGTGACCGTTAAGCACATATATAATTCTATATACTATATGAGTATTATATACTATATGAATATGCTAACCTACATTTGATCTCTTTTTACAGTAGTAAAATATTTGTTAATTTTATTATATATAGACCATGCAGACAAATCAACAAGTCTTTAAAATAGCTTTTCTAAACATCACCAACTCCAGTAATGTTAGAAAAGACTCAACTTTGACCAAAACTTTATTAAATAACAGTGATGCTCCACTACATGCTTTCTAAAAAGTTAAGAGCAGTTGCACGCTTTGGACTTGCCTAGCCTTTGCCAGGCAGTTATAAGTCTCATATAGAAACATCTCTGCCTGTAAAGAATTCAGAAAATGGTGACGTGTTTAACCATCTAAAAACAAACTTGTGTGGTCATGCATTTGTCACTAATATGTGCCCTAATTCAATATCCCAGAGAACTTTCTCTAAAAATTGCTAAGTGGACTGACCAGTGTAAATAAGATTACAGGGAAAATAGTAAGAGAATAACCCTTAGAAATTGAACATATTCAAGTCATAGAATTTTGAGGCTGGGACCAGGAAAGTCTCTCATCATTTCTCAGGGCAGGACACCAATGCACAGGCCACGCAGTGGGCCTGCCGGCTCCTTAGCCAGGGCTTCTGCCCCCAGGCTATGGCTGAGACACCCAGGCAGGTGGCTTTGCTTTTCTTTCTTTCTTTTCTTGTTTTATAAAGTCTCACAGGGAATTCTGATGTCCACTTCCAGTTGAGAACCACAGTACTAGATCACATAGATAGCCCATAGCTTCTTTGTGAGACAGTCTTAATTATAACTTCTGTCTCGACAGTCCGAAAGGCTCACTTTGCCTGTTGAGAGGGGCTGATGCTCTCTTCTGGTCAACCACATATTCCATTCAGTAACGCCTCTTAGAAAAGATCAAGACTTAATTTTGTTCCGTTTTCATTTTTAAATATGGACATACCTTTTAAAAATGCTTTTACTGTGAATTCTTCCTCCCAGCTGCTTATCAATAGCATCGGTTCCATCTGTTTTTGTGGCGTAAACACCAATAATTCTACTCTCACAGCTTGCACCGGATGTGTTAAGATAGTGGAGAACCCAAACTGTTGGTTTGTTGCAAACTAAACCATATGAATCACAGAAGTCTGTTAAAGCCTGGAGAAGAAAAAAAAAAAATTTGAATTTAATTCTGGAAAGTAATTTTTTAATTTAAAAAATTAATTTGTTGTTACTTTCATGTAAGGCTGCAATTTCAGTTGGTCATAAAGCAAAAAAAAAAAAAGATATTCCTAGTCTTTATGCCTTTAAGAACCAAACATGCATGGATTGAACTTGGAGTGAGGGGCAAATCACCAAAAAAAACATCACCCAAAAACCCAACAGCTTCTCATCTAGAGAACCCTTTTCCTGATGGAAATTACATTTTATTCCTCCTTCTTTAACCTCACTACCAGCATCACTTTTAATTTTGAAATCTTCACATAATAACTAAAACTGGACCTCTTTACTTCTCCCTTTAATTTCCCCCAAACTTTCCACTTGACTCAATCTTCCTTATATCTCCTACTGACTCTCCCACGATTGATGCTTATTTTTAAATCCAAATCCAATCATGGATAAGTGGATTTTAGCTTGCTCTTTTGCACTGAAAGGTATGAATATGTGAACTCAAAACAGGCTGCCTGAACTCACTCGGCACTTACCCACCTGCTCATTCATTCGCCTGAACATTAAGCAGCTACTATGTGCGGAGCACTGTCTACGGTCCTGGAGATAGAATGCTGAGCAAGACAGGGCCCTGGCCCTCCTAGAGTGAATGGCTGATGCAGAAGACAGACATTAAATAAGCCAGCAGCACACAACGTGGTAAGCGCCACTAGGTGAGCCTGCGCGGTGCTGAGGGGCACAGAGCAGGAACGCTTCGCCCATCAGGTGGCAAGGGCCTTCCCCGGGAGAAACGGTGAGCGCCCTGAGGGCAAGCACTTTTATCTGCTATATGCCAAGTGCCTGGAAGAGTGCCTGAAACACTGCCTGACACAAAGGAGATGCCTAATATGTACTGACTCAGTGAATGAAAATAGGACCCTGACATGTCTTGCATTTCCATTTAATGTTGCTATCTAACTCCTGTATTGGTTTTTAACTTTACTTGCACATCTATGAGAATTCCCAACTATATTATAAACTGTTCAAGGGCAAGAAGCACCAAATGTTGTATTTCTTTCTGTCCCACACAATCTCTAGAACAGTGCTCCCTATGCCTAAAACATTTGAAATAAATGTGTTGGTGAGCAGAATGAATGCATGCATACTATGTCCTTTTTGCATACAAACCAGGAACAAAAGACTACAGAGTTGGGACTTCAAAAATGAATGTTAGCCCACCCCAACCTTCTAGTCAAGTTTTTTCAGGCCCATTCTGCAAATGTGTCAAAAAACATCAAAAGACTATCTAACAACTCAATTTATAAAGAACTTCAGTAGCAGAACCCACACAATCATGCAAAACCCTGAAGGGGGTCTGGAACCAAATGAATGTTCTCCATGCTGCCCTCCTAATAGCCACAGCATCAGATTGCTGTCGATATCCAAACCAAAGATTTCATACTAACTCAGATCCACTTTCACTATTAACAATTATCTAGGTAAAAGGCCTTTCTTAGATGTCCAAATGTGCTAAATAATAGAAACATAATATTTATCAATAAAGCAAAAACAGATAATTAAGTAATAAAGATCTTTAAAATGTGATTTAAAATAGAAGCATCTTTAAAAAAATTTACTGATCGCAAAGTGAATTAATCAAACTGATGTTCTAACCTAGTAACGAACTTTATATTCACTAAATCGGGTAAGAAATTTTATACAATCTTTTATATATTATGACCATTTTTTAAAAAAACAATAACATTTCAGAAAACAAAATAATACCACCATACTCTCACTACTACAGTATTGCTCTTAATTCAAAAAGACCTTCAAGAGAAGAGTTCTATAAAATAGCCATCAAAACGTGTTACATCTTCAATGAAAAAGAAAAGCCCCACAAACCTTTGAGTGATGTAATGCACTTTCCTAAAATAGAATTTTGGTCTTAAAAAATGACTAGTAGTCATTAAGATATGTGTCTTCAAAATTATAAAAAAGTAAAACCGCCTCATGTTGGATTTATGTGACAGCCCAGGCTATGCAAAACAACACACGTCGCTTTGTGCAGAATAAATAGAGATATGTATATATATGTGTGTGTACATATATATATGTTAAAACTTAAGAAAATGCCAAGACCTTTTTAAGTTCTATATTTGACCTTAAAGAATATGTCTCCATTTCATTGGCCAAGTGGTCGGACAGGCTGTACGGATAAGGGATGCCAAAGTAATCCGCCTCTTCCTGTAGGGCGACTCGGGTTTGCTCGTCCGTGGGGATGTGAACTTCTCCATGGAGGTAATCCAAAAGGTATTTAAACAGGCGTCCATCGCGGTCAATAACACAAGCCCCTAGAAAAGATTCAGTTCCAAAGTCATTGCACAGATACATGACCATGGACAACATTTCCATGTCAAACCAAGGTCAGATGGAGGTAGCCGTGTCTCTCACAAGAAAGTTCCCGTCCGGTGTTCAAATAGGGTTAGCCAAATGTGGTGATCCTCTGCACTCTCACCCTCCAAGTAGGAAAATGCTTGCTCTGAGCTCCACTTGGAATCTTGGGTGCAATGACCATAACCCCACTGAAGCCCTGCAAAAGCTGTGGAAACCTCAGCCTGCTGGCAGAAAGGGAAACTTACCCCTAACTTCAGGCCACTTGACTCAATCTTCCGGAAAGGCCTGTGAGTTTCTCTCTAATGAGGGCTGGCAGAGGCCTGTTACTATGTCTAGTGTTTGTGTTGATCTGCAGTGCTGACATATAAACCCGGGGTTCCCAGCTCCAGCCTTCCATGTGTTTGGATTTATCAGATTAGTCCCTTTGTACTGTGAAAACCTAAACTTTAAAAAGCAAATATGCCCGGCTGGCATGGCTCAGGAGTTGAACGTCAACCTATGAACCAGGAGATCACAGTTCGTTCCCTATCAGCACACCTGCCCAGGTTATGGGTTCAATCCCCAGTACGGGGCGTGCAGGAGGCTGCCAATCAATGATTCTCATCATGATGCTTCTATCATTGATGCTCTCTCTCCCTCTCCCTTCCTCTCTGAAATCAATAAAATAAAATAAGAAAACAAATGCTATGCTGGTACTACTTTATGATAAAAGGCTTTTCTTGGGCAATTAGCAGAATTTTTAAAAAAACAACAGTTCTGTGAGTTACTCAGTAATTCCTTTTCTCCCTTGATTAGTTTAGAAAAGAAGGGATTAAAAAGGTAAAACTTGGGGACAGAAAAAAAACTCAATCTCTGCTTATCATCTTCCACCAGCAACCTTTCTGTCCAGATGGACATCAAGCCCTGGGCCATCGGTGACTCTCCCAGGCTTTCCACTGCCATTCCGCTGGCAAAGCCATCTCTCCAACCCAGGGTTGACTCACAGCCCCCCATACCCAAGACCCCACAAGCCCTCTCTTCTAGCAAAGAAGAATGGGTACCAGGAGCCCCGGAACCTCTAAGACATGCAAATTCCAGCTGCACCAGGTGACAAGTTTAACATTAACCCTGCACTAACAATGACGGCCCTGTCAGCTATGAGGGCAACTGCTTTTTCCAGAAATACATATTTTTTAACTTGAAAAACACAGAGAGAAGCTAATATTTTTAATCGGCCTCAATACCTTTACCCATGGAGTTTCATGAACGTAACAACTTCCAAAATATAATCCCCGTAAATCACACACTGATTTGCCTTCACACACTCACTGTTTTGTCAACTTTCAGCGAAAGCATCACAGATCCTAGAAACCGGTGTTTAATTTCCCCAAGTATTTAATAAGTCTCCATACAGTCCTAATGAGCTCACTAATTAGTAAACTAATCTAATCTATTTCATTGTAATTAGGAAAATCAAAGGGAATTTAAACTAGACTCCTATTTTAATGAATATGCATGATCATGCTTACAGATTGTAGATGTTTACCTGACTCATCTCTTTTTAGAGGAAAACGACCACTGAACATGGAAGCCAACATGGAGTCTTTAAATCGGCACAAGGACTCTCGCCTGGCTGTGTAAATACAGCCACCCACGTTCAGTCGAAGAATGTCTAACATCTCTTCTTCCTTGTGATCTTCCATTGCTCCCGCCGACACCTGAATTTGTGCCTTGAAATACTTTCAGAAACTGCAAACAATGGTGGTCCCGGTCCCCTCTGTAAAAACAAAGGACAATCACCACTGACATTTTCAACAATAGACAGTAAGATAAATACATTTTACTGTGATTTCAAATAAATTCCTCAGCACTGGCAATACTGAGTTGAAGGACTTTATACACTATGAAGAAAGTCTGACATATGCTGAGAATCTGGAAAACTCGGGCTCAAAGGACCTGTAAGTAATAATAAACTATGACCAATGAAATCATAGCTGTGGAGGTGACTGTTTAAAGAATTAAACAGCATAATGCATTGTGTGTCATATAGAAAACAAGGGCGGGGTGTGCTTCTGAGCCTCAATATTCACGTATCTTTTTAAAGTACAGTAAGTCTGAGGGGCTGTCTAGACTGCAGAGGACGCAGCGGGCATGGGATGAGGCTGCAAGGCTCTACTGTGCACTAGCTCGGGGCCTCAGGCAATACTGTCGTCCCCTGCCTGTGTCCTCATCTATAGAATGGAGGTAGGGACGGTGCCTACCTCAAAGGATTATCCGAGGAATAAGTGACAAAACATATGAAAAGCATATAGAACAGTCTCTGGCTCAATGTTAGTACTTAATAAATGATAAATATTACCTATGATGATATACATTTTACCATAAGGGGTATACTAGGGACTTGATATTGGCTCTGCAGATTTAAGGAAGCAAAAGGACAGAAATGATTAACAATAGTAATTGTAATTCTTAAATCGTGTAACTAAGGAAGATATAATTTGTCAACTGAGATCGGAATTCCATGTCTGCCAGTAGCTAGACTGGTCCAGAAAAACAAATAGCATCTCCAAATCATCTGACTTCTGCCCGGTTGGCATGGCTCAGTGGTTGAGCATCAACCTATGAACCAGGAGGTCACGGTTCGATCCCGGTCAGGGCCTATGCCCGGGTTGCAGGCTCTATCCCCAGTGTGGGGTGTGCAGGAGGCAACCGATCAATGAGTCTCGCTCATCATTGATGTTTCTCTCTCTCTCTCTCTCTCTCTCTCTCTCTCTCTCTCTCCCTCTCCCTTCTTTCCTGAAATCAATAAAAATATATTTAAAAAAATAAATCACCTAACTTCTGCACTCTGAAATGGCTGAAGCTTTATGCACATGCCATAGCAAGGGTAGCATGGCTGCCCAGAGGCGTGGCTACATCCATGGCAATTCACTTTACCACGTGCTCAACTAAGATCCTTTCGTGGATATTCCAGTGTATCCACTCTCCCAGGAAAAGGGGACAGGAGACAACCATGGGTGTCGAACACGGTCAGTGACAGAAACTACCACGGACCAAGGCCCAGCCTTCAAAACCCACCCATGGATGTGACTTCTTGCACTACCTACCGGCCCTGGGGGCAGCCCCGCAATGATCCCAGTGAGAGAACCACCTGGGAGGCCTGCAAGGTGCCTGGGATGGAGCTGGTTCTTGCTGCCGGTTACCAGCTCCCTGGAAGCCCATGTCTTCTTCAAAGCCCCAGGCAAACCTCACTGCCTGCACTACCTTCCCAATCACCCCCGAGTGACAGCCGGTGCGCAGTTCTCCGGATGAACTGTGCTCCTGTCTACATTTCACCTCGCCTGCTTAATCCCTAGTTTGGGGGCCTCTACGCCCCTAGAAGGCAGGGCCTGTGTCGCTCTTACTAATTCCCTTTTACTGAGTGCGTACTGTGTGCCAGCCCCTGCGGGCGACGCGGGCAGACCTGACCTGACGCACACGAGAGCCGGGCTGGATGCGGCTCCCTGTGCCCAGGGACAGATGAGGGCCCTGGGGGCCACACCCAGGCTGCCCTGCGTGTGGTAAGCGGTGGGGACCGCTCGCATCCAGGTCACAGGACCAACCCCCCAGTTCTGCCTGCTGCACCCACACTGCCGCCTCAGCACAGCTTCGCCCCGAGGCTGCCGGCCCAGGCACTGCGCTCTGTGCACCCCGGGGGCACAGCAGCACCCCGAGTGCGAGGAGGAGACACCCCGGCTCCGGTCCGACTCTCCTGAGGCAGAGGGCCACCACCATTGCAAGTGCAGCCGCGGTGCCCGCCCTCAGGTGCACCCAGTAGGCTGCCTACTGTGGCCGAAGTGCCCTGCCCTCCGGAGACGCGTCCCCGAAGTGCGGGCCTGGGACCCCCTGTATCTAAGCCGCCGGCATCGCCTGCTGCCAGGCGGATTCCCGGGCCGCGGCACAGAGTGCGGACCACAGAGTCCGCGGCGGCGGTGGGAGTCCGCCCGCGGACCCACTTTGAGAAGCGCTGCTCCAGGATTCGCACTTCTCCCTCCAGCTGGGAAGGAGGGCAGGGGCCGGGACACCAGGAAGCCCGCCGGAGTCTGCCCGCGGCCCGGCTTTCACAGATTCCGCTCCCGGCCCGAGCCCACGGCCCAGGCCTCCCGTGTGATCCGCGCGGCCCGGGCCCTTTCTCGGGGCGCCCCGCCGCCTCCCGGGTCCGCGGCCCACCCGGAGCCCAGATCCTCCGCTCGGGCGAGGCCGGGTAGGCGGCCTCCCCGACTGACCTGCGGCCGGCGCGGCCCTCGGCGCCGCCGCGGGACACTGCGGGGCCCCACTCGGAAGGAAGAGCCTCCTCCGATGCTCGGCAACTCCAGGAGCAGCGCGGCCCTAGTGGCGCCCCCGTGCGGCCCCGCCCGGCAGCGACGCCCGGGACACCCCCACCCCATCCCGCCCCCGGATTGGTCCCTCCCAGCCAGCGCCCCGCCCCCGGATTGGTCCCGCCCAGCCAGCGTCCCGCCCCCGAGCTGGTCCCGCTCAGCCAGCGCCCCGCCCCCGAGCTGGTCCCGCCCAGCCAGCGCCCCGCCCCCGGATTGGTCCCGCCCAGCCAGCGCCCCGCCCCCGGATTGGTCCCGCCCAGCCAGCGCCCCGCCCCGGGACTGGTCTGGCCGCTGGCTCTGGGCGATGGGAAGGCACGAGTCAAGGGTCTTGGTACAACCTCGGGGAAAGGAAAGGTCAGCAGAGACACGGGCTGGACGTCGGGGGACGGTCTTGTCCGTCAGCGGCTGCTTTTAAATATGAAGAAAACACCGAAAGTGCTAATAGTTATAATGAGTTAGGTTTTCGAGTTAGGTTTTCGCACCCCCTACATGAGGGCCCGTCTCTCCAAACTGGGCTGCTCATTGCCAAGATTTGTGAACATATTGCACTTAGATACGCCCATTCGGTAGTATTTAGAGTTTGCAAAGCTTTTCCACACAGAGCATTCTTGCTTCATCTGTGAGACAGCCCTATATTTTTATTCCCGTTACAACCAGCAAAACTGAGGCAGGAGCAACACTAATTGAGCATTTCTGTACACCTGACATTCTTCCAAAACTTTGTGTGTACTATTTCATTTTCTCTTTCATTTCCCAGCTTCACCATGCATTATGCAAAAGACTGCTAGGTATTGCAAGAAGAATAAAACACAGTCCTGTTTTCAAGGTACTTCCCCAGAGTCCATAATAATTGGTTCCTAATTCCTCTGGGTCTTAGAAGGGAATAAGCCAATGAGCGGTAAACCCATCTACCCCTCAGATATTAATAGTCGGTGAGAGATGGAAGGTTTACCCAACTTATAATTATTGACCACTAGCTATGGACTAAGCACTGGGAGTGAAGGAGTTACTATGACAATGTCCCTGACCCATGGCATGATTTAATATTACAATTCACAATGATTATACAATAGTTATAAATTCTATTCACCAAATAATTCAGCAACACGTGTATAAAGCAAAAAAAAAATATATCATAGGACATTTAAAGAAACATTGGTAGAAATACACTAGTAGTGGGAAAGTTTAATATGTCACTTTTAGTACAACAGACTAGTCAATAAGATAGATCTTATGGATATACATACTTTATACCCTGAAAATAGAGAATACAATAGTAACAACGAAGATAAAATGTTGTTTCAGAATGAAGTTTTCAAGAAATGTGCAAACCTTATATGAGAAAAACGTGAAAGCACCCTTGAAAGTACAAAAATGGGCGTGAACAAATGGAAAGATATTCCATAACATAAACATATCCATTTCCTCTAAGGTAATTTATAAATTTAACAAATACCAATAAAAATACCAACAAGATATTTATAGAGCTAGACAAGTTGACATTAAAATTCATATGGAAAAGTAAAAATGCAAAAATAGCCAGGAAAACAGGAAAAAGAAAAGTTTATGAGGGGAAGCTAGCCCTACCCATCATTAAAATACACTGTAAATCTGGCTTGTTTATCTACTCATGGCAACTGGTGAACGAATAGGCCAGTAGACCAGTGGAATAAAATAGAAAGTCCCAGAAATACTATATACCTAAATGCATATGAAAATGTAATATGTGATAAACATAGTATCTCGAATTACTTGGGAAAAGATGGGCAATTTAATAAGTATTGGTAAGGCAACTGGTTTGCATTTGGAGAAAGATAAAATTAGAACCAAGTTTCACGCTATAGTCAAGAATAAACTTCAAATGGGCCATGGATATAAATGTCAAAGATGAAACCGTGTAAGTACTAGGAGAGAGTATGTATGATTTTCTCTTTAGTCCGCTGTAGGAAAAGACTTTCTAACTATGACTCAAAATTCAGATCCAACAAACAATAAAGTTGCTGAATTTGACTATGTCTTTAAAAAAACTTTTAAACAACAAAAAAATAAGCAAAGATCAATTACTAACCCGAAAACACTTTCCCCTTCACACACATATACATTTCTCACACATTTCTCAAAAATATGAAAAGATGTTCAAATTCACTTACAAGTGAAATGCACATTAAATCTACTCTGATAATACACCTCCAAAAGTATGACAAAGTTAGACATTGTGTTATGGGTGGAAGTGGAGCTCTTGGGGTGCTGTGGGAAAACAGTTTCCTGAGGTCCCCACGGTGGATGTGTTTTTGTGGAAAGCTTTATAATGTAAAATTAAGGGGGTTGCCCTTCGAGGTCCCATCTCTGTCCATCCCACCATGGAAACAATCCAATCTTGTCTGCAGCAGGCCAAACTAAAAACCAATCTCCAGAGTTTCTGCTCCATTTTAAAGTATGTCCAGTCCAGCATCCCGCCTGTGGAGTCCGCATGGCCACTGCTCACACAGCTGCTTAAGGCCACATGGCGGGCAAGTGCAGGTCACAGAGCAAGAGAGCGTAAGAGAGAGCAAGCAAGCAGGCAAGAGAGGCTGAACTCTTTATTTGGAGATTTTAACTTTCCAAGGGTTCATGCTCTTGCCAATGATCTTTTTCCCAGGCTAGACTGACAGCCAAGCACCATCCCTACGTCACCCAACTTCACTGCACATATGCCCATCTCCCCCTTGGTTCCATCCCTTCCCCAGTGATCTGCAGGGAGTGGACCTGTAGTTCCCTGGGGGTGTGAACTGTTGTTTCCCGGTGAAACTGCCCAGATGGCCATGCTTATAATGTCTGGCCTCCCTGCTTTGCTCTTTTCCTGTTGTTAATATTGAAAAACTAGCTAATTGCCATGATAACTGTTAGGGTCATTGAAGGAGGAACACATGAGGCCAAAAGGGGTAAAGAATTATACATTTACTAGAGGCCCGGTGCACAAAATTTGTGCCAGGGTGGGGGGGGGGGCGGGTGTCCCTCAGCCCAGCCTGTGCCCTCTCGCAGTCCAGGACCCCTCTGGGGTCTGCCTGTAGGCCAGCTCCCTGCAATCGGACATCCCTCTCGCAGTCCGGTAGCCCGCACCTGTTACCACCTGGTTCGCTGCTCCTTAGCGCTACCATGGAGGCAGGAGAGGCTCCCACCACCGCCGCTGTGCTCACCAGCCATGAGCCTGGCTTCTGGCTGAGCGGCGCTCCCCCTGTGGGAGCACACTGACCACCAGTGGGCAGCTCCTGTGTTGAGCATCTGCCCCCTGGTGGTCAGTTCACATCATAGCAACCAGTCGTTCTGGTCTTTCTGCCATAACAGTCGCTTAGACTTTTATTATATAGATTAGGTAATCTGGGAAACCAAATGGGCTGAGCCCCAAAATGGCACCAGCACCCAGGAATGGGGAGGCAGAGGTTTTAAAGACTCTAGGTGGGCTTTCTCTGGGCGGAGAATTCTCTAGGTGGGTCCAGATCCTGGAAAGGTCTGGAGGGGAAGGATAATGAATGGTCTTAGCAAGTGGAATGTGGTCTAAGCAAAAGGGAATGTCAGTTGTGAAGTGGTCTAATGTATAGGCCCAGGAGAGGGGGTATCAATTCAATATTTGATCAGTCCTAATAATAACAATTGTAGTATTGTTTGCAATTGCAAAATACCAGAAGGAAAAAATAAATTTCTATAAATAGGAGAGTATGTGAATAAACGGTGACACAGACATAGAATGGAGTATTATGAATCCGTAAAAAAGAATGAGGTCATTTTCTATGAATTAATGTGAAGTGATTTCTAGGATACTTTTTAAATGACCAATGGGAAGTTTGGTGCATCTGGGGGTGGAGAGGTGGTGTCAGTTTCAAGCCAGGCAGCTACAGTGACGGCCTGAGTCGGATGGAGTGGAGGTCCTGTTGGACTCTGAGCACGACCCATGATAACAGCCAAGCTCCAGGGCCGAACTGTCCGATCTCTGAGTTCTCATGGCCCAAGACAGACAGCAGTCCCACTCATGTGAGTGTCCAGACTTGGGTTTTGGGCATTCTGGGCCCCTCCCAAGGGCTTTCCCATTACACGCACTATCTCAGTCTTGGGCATATTGCCACTTAACATCCAGGTAAATGTCGTGGCTGACAGTGACTCCGTATCAGATCGGAAAAGTCTGCTTTGCTCTTGCTCTATAGACAAGCTGCACTGGTAGCATGACTGTGGCTCAGTCCCTCTCCGCTGCCAAGGCCCCCTCATTCTTGCTTGTTTTAAAGCCTCTATTTCTATCCTCCCCAGAAATGCTTTAAACTACCCACGGTCCTTTTCTGTGTCTATCGGTGCAATTCAACCTGCCAGACCAATACAGATGATCAGATCAGATGGTTTAATGAAATGTAAGTCCACTATTTCCACTTTGTTTGATTAGTTTATTGATTTGCAGGGTGTCTTCTATTTGGCTCCTATTCAGGGAGGACATTTCTTGGATGATTTTTGTTTTCGTGATGCTGAGATGTGACAGGAGCTTTTTGCTGTTGTGCTGTGTGGCAGTGAGCCTTCCTCTTTCCTTCCCTCTACTCCTCTATTAGTGGGGAGTGTGGGTCAGGATAATCACATTTTAATGGACCAGACTCTACCTTTAGATAGAGGAAATCAGGAAACTAATGAGTGTAAGAATAAAGGAAAATGAAGGGAGAAAAGCAAAATCAGTTCCTTGTGTCAGAGCGTATCACAACAGAACTGTGAGCTCATTTCATTTAATTGGTTTATTTTATAGGTAAGGAGTTTGCAACAAAGAACATATCGATAATGTGTATTCAAGATATGAATAACTGCATCTTCACACTCCTAGTCCAGGGCTCTTGTCTCTATCCGTTATACCAAGACCCAAGTGGCCTG